TACACTTGCAGCTGTACAGCGCTGTGAGGTAAACCTGTCTTCATACAGCTGAGTAGGGAAAAGCGCTGCAGTCTGTCCACATTGACAGTTGCCAGCGCAGTGGTGTGGCCACACTTGCAACATTTGCAGCTGTGTTGGGAGCGGTGCATTATGAGCAGCTATCCCAGCATTCATGTGGCTGCAACGTGCTTTTCAAAACGTGTGTGTGTGTGTGTGTGAGACAGGGAGTGTGGGGGGAGAGAGAGTGCTTTTTGGAGCGTGTCAGCTCTCTATTTTGCAAGTTCCGAACTCCCGGCCCCCTGCTCATTCATTTACTCACTCAAAGCAAGCTGCAAACTGTTTGCTTTTCTCTGTGGTACGAGCTTTGAAACTGGCACTTCCGCATTCCTGCAGCCGGACACAGCAATGGAGAGGATTGGCCACTTGACAAGGTGATTAGTACAGCGCTGCAAACGTTTACACTCACACCCATGAGTCGTAGCCATTCCGCTGCAGCTGTTATTCCTCTCGGAGATGTGGAGTACCTGCAGCGGTGTACCCAGGGAGATACAGCGCTGTAAGTGCCCTGCCAGTGTGGACGGGGAGTGAGTTACAGCGCTGGGGGAGGCTTTACAGCGCTGCAACTTGCAAGTGTAGCCAAGGCCTAAGTTAGGCACCTGAATAAGTGGCCTGCTTTTTCAAAGCTGCTAAGCACCTGGAGAGCCCATTAAGTTCAGTGGGAGATCTGTCCACTTATGGCAGTGCTGAAAATTTGCCCAAGGGGGAAAATTCCATTTAACGTTAAGAGGAAAATGGATGACTTGAAGAGGCAGAGATAGGCAATCGTAATTATAGGAGTTGCTAACACTTGCTATTCTAATCTATATTCTATACATTGTAAATCACAGATTTTATGTGGTTTTCTATAACACACAGGATTAAACACACAAGGAGATTAGGAACATGCCACACTGTATGTTTTATTAATAGATTATTCATGCTACAAGGCCCATCTTTCTTCTCAGGCATATGGCAAGTAGGCAGGCTGAGAGTTAGTAGGTTTTTACTATTATAGTTGCTGTGTACTGCATCTGTAGGGCTGTATCTTTACATTTATTGTAGAAACTGGATAACACAAGCATGCCCAAAGCAAAGGACGGCTACTTGCTTATGTTATATATAACCAAATTTAAAAAAATGTATACAGGAAAGGCAGATTTATACTGAATATGTGGAAACAAAGTTGTCCAGGGAATTGGATGTACAAAATATGAAGCTCAATTCTCCAAGCATATGCCGTATAGAGTAGCTGATTTTCAATTATAGTAAAGTACTGGAAGTGCTGTAAATTCTCTCTGATCTCAAATGTCTCCGTCTTACTAAACTGGTAAATATCCACGGTCACTTTGTTCACTTGCTAGAGTGCTAAGTCTGAGGAAACCATAAGATACATATAAGCAAGGTTATCCATCTGCTGAACCATGCTTTGAAACTTCCACTTGGAAAAATTCATACTATGTTCTTTCCAAGTTGCTTTATAATGCATCTGTGCTGCTTGTTAGAAACCCAGCAAAACTCATTACAGGAAGGCAATACCTTCTAGCTGGCTGCACTGTCCATCTACTTTCTAGTGATGTGAGATTTCTGGAGCAGCATCACAAAGAGTATCAGAGAGCTCCAAAACTTATCCTTCTGTGGTAACTAGCAGAGAAGAGCCATGTTCTCTCCCCCTCCACTCAATCAGAGAATTAGTTACTTCTAAGCTACAGGACTCCTAATTCCTGTGGTCACTTGGGTTATGAAATGTCTCTATTTGCTTTTGGACCTCCTTTCCAGTTCATACAGACCCCAAAAGAAAGACACCACCTTTCATCTGAAACATGTGGAAAACTCCTTTAAAAACTAACACAACGACAAAATTGATTTGGGGAAAAGGTTCCCATTGAAATGAATTAGAATCAGCAATGGTAGTACTCAGCTTTTATTAGGGGGTTGTTTCTCCACCTTTCATCATGCTTAGGTGAATGCACCAACCTCTGGCTCTTTAAATGCCACAAAATCTGAATAAACACACACTATCAGCGATATAGATGCCTGGAGCTGTAGTGGAGATAGCGTTTATCCAAACTCTGATCCTTCCAGACAACAGCAACCAAGGAACAACCTCTCCAAACATCCTAAAGCATTCCCTAGAACAGGGAACATTTCAGGATAAGTGCTCTTCTGTAAACGAGCTGTGGAATTGAGGAGCTGGCTTGTTTTGTGCATCCTCTAACTATGCTTACCCATGTATGCTCGGTAACATGGCTAGCACCAAGACTGAGACCCTATTGTACTATTCATCCTCTGGTTTTAGTGTTCTTGATCCACAAATGAGTGGTTTCCCCAGACCACTTAATTGCTAAATAAACTACATAATGGTAAATTTGAGGCTCCAAACTATTCTCCTAATTAGTCCAAGTGTTTATCAGAAAATAGCACATTTAAATGTCTTATAATTCAACCAAGAGAAGGTATTGGGAGTGCTAATAGTGGAACAGTGGACCTATGCTGTTTAAAGTCTGCACTCTGTTCATAATTTGCAGCAACACCATATGGTGCAGAATAAATATATAATGAGAAGTTGGAAAAAAATTAGCATGAAAAGAGTTCACCAAATGATGAAGGCAGATGACAAATGCTCTAAAGCATGAAATCAGTGAAGTTCACATATATTTAAAAATACTTGCAATTCTATATCTGATCTGATCATTTATTTTCTCCTGATGTTAAATAGTGTTTGGCTTTATCTAACACCTTCCATATTTAAGATACTGTATTTGAAGCACTATGTTTTTACACAAAACCTTTAACACCAGAACCTATTCTATTAAGAGAGGGGAATGTTGAACAGGACAAAAGATTATCTTCTTCTCTCTTTGAAAAGTACCCTGCAATCTTTAATTACCAAGCAGACTGTCACCAGGGATTAGCGGAAAGGGCCTCACTTGAACAAACCATCCAAAGGATGCTGCAACTTTCGGTGCTCCTTAAAATGTAGCTTCTTGTTGTTGTCAAAAGAATTTTGTTAAATCTTATACAGTTCCACGAATAAATAAATTATTAAAAATAAAGTTGGAAAGTCTCTTAGCAGTATTGTGCAAATTACAAAAAAAGGTTATGAGCATGTACAGAATGTACAGTTTTACAAATTTAGAACTAAGCTTAAAAGTTACCATCTCTTGAATATTTATAATGTTTTGGGAAATAATCTACAAAAGTGTGCACTGGAAATTTTTTTTCTGGCTGCAAGCTTTTATTCCTATCACTTGCACAAATAGAGTCCTGATAAAATGTTGCGAACTCTGTGTGCAGTAAGCTGTGGAGATCGAAATATAATGGGAGGGAATTTATGGATGAAATAGAATTCAGTGATTACTGGCAGCCATGTCTGCTTTCCGTATGTCAAACTGTCAAAGCCAGCATGCTGCGGAGATGGTTTGATAAAATGTTTTAGAGAAAGAAAAGCAAAGAAGAAAATCAAATACGGCAAAAGGGAATGAAAAAGTCTGAATTTAAAACTAGTACGTTGATAATGCTGGTCATGACAACTTCGACAACTTTTATCATATGCAATGAGCACAAATATACAGCAGAATAATGAGCTTTAAAACACACTAAGACTTTGTCTACACCAGCACTTCTATTGGTAAATTTTTTTGTTGGTCAGGGGTGTGAAAAAAACACTAGCCTGACCGACATAAGTTTCACCACCAAAAGCATCAGTGTGGACAGTGCTATGTCGGTGGGAGAGCATCTCCCGCTGACATAGCTACCACCACTTGTGGGGGGGTGGTTTAATTATGCCAATGGGAGAGCTCTCTTCCCTCGACATAAAGCAGCTATACGGGAGAGTTGTGCTACTGTAAGGTCTGTAGTGTAGACATAGTCAAAGACACACAAAACAACCCAGTCAAAAAAACAGACAGGTTATCTGGTATGTTGTCATCACAATAACAATATTTATCCATTGCTAAGTAATCAACAGTTGATCTACTATTCTGTTAATTCACAGATGAAGGTGACAATATAACGTGCATCATGGTGGTGAATACGTGACGTAAGTCGCAAAGAACTATAAGTAAAAAGATAGCAAGTCTTTCTTGGAGGAAAAATTTGGAAGGGTGATAATATGGCTGAGACTTTCCGTATTTGAATGTCGATTATGAAATTTGTTTCTTTAACTCTAAAAAGATAATAGTTAAAGGGACATTGCCAAAGTCAGGACTCCTAAAAAGCACATTTATTTTGTTAAACTTTTTACTTTCAGGTGCCCATTGTTTTTTTTTAAATTGGTTTAAATAATCCGTTGTGTATGTGACAGTTTACGGAGTGAGAGCCCTGGGGGCTGTCTTTTCTGTGGATTAAGGAAGACACAGGTAGTAAAACTGCTAAATTTCATAGCACTGCCCAGATGCCTCAGTCATGGCCCGGAGGGAAAACCTGTGAGTGAGGGACAGTAGTTCATTTTTCCATGCCATTTAAGCTCAGACAGCCAACAGGGGTGATGAATAATGTTAGCTGAAGAGGTGATTTTGTGATGTGGCCACTTGTTTATTTCTTCTTAAATGACTGTGTGTGAGCGTGTGTGTGTATAAAAAAAAGAGAGCGAGAGAGAGCATGGTGTTTATTAATGTTCATAATACCGCTGGAGAATATTCACATCAATATATATGTGTACATATACATTTTTCAATATAAATAGTCTCCCTCAGCATCAGAAACCTAAACATCATTGTTCTAACACATGAAAACCAGAAAGTGAAACTGTCTACACACAAGTAACTCACCAGACAATTTTCACTGTCCAAGCTGAGTGAAATGCAAATTTTATACAAACATGATAAACAATGGAAAATATTTATTACTGAGCACAGTGTTTACTATTATGATCTCAATGAAATTACTCTTTTTGTTCACTTAACTGATTTCCAGATACAGCAAAGATTAAAAAGTGGGAATTCATTTAATTACACCCTTACCTGGCTGTAAAGTGCCAAAAATGTATCCATTTCTATATTCTCCAGAAGATCTTCAAGCACCACATCATTCCATTGCTCTTCTTGTAAGCTGAAGGGAAAGATGAAATTAGTATTATCTTCCCAGGCATAGTATTTCATGTGATAAGAAATCAATATCCAAAATTCATCCATTCAGAAAACATTTTACTGGCAGATTTTGTTAAAAGGTTTACCGCACACCTCTTCAAACAAACTAAGAACACCACACTTCTTCCCCTTTTCTCCAAGAGCCAGACCCTGCTGTGTTACTGTCCAACGTATCTGACGACAGCAAAGCATCTCATGTGTTCTGTTGTGGCTGCATTGTCCCATCTACAAGGAGCATGGGAATGAACCAATGTTGCATGGGAATGAGCAGGCTCCTGCTGAAGACTTGGCATGAAGCTTGGCCCCTTTTTTTTTCAATCAGTTTTCACATCTGTCTTTCTCAAAGTATTTACAACCTTTAGAAATAGTTTCTCTCCATTCAAGTCTGTCCTGGGCTGTGTCTTCTAAGTCACCTATATTTATGCCGCATGAGTTGAGATTCTACTGCAAGTTTTTATGTTGACAACTCTTCCTGCAGTTTCTGAGTTTCAGCTTACTATAGAGGATGTTTTTCAGGAGTCTATCAGCACCCATTCTGATATCATGACCTGTCCATCTAAGCTGGGCTTTAATAATCCCTGCCACAATGCTGGTTGTTTTTGCTCTTTCAAGGATGTTAATGTTTGACACTTTGCCTTGCCAGCAGATCTTCAGAACAGAGCAAAGAGAGTAACATCTTTGAGCCTCTTATCAGAGCCTGTACACCAGCCATGAACAGCACAGGGGAAATATAAGACCAGTTCTGTTCTGATTTGGATGACAATCAAATTTATGCCCAGTGAAGACAATCTTCTACTTCTGGGAGACTTTAATGCCGGAGTTGGGGAAGAAATGAGACTTGGAGTGGTGTAATAAAAAACAAAGTCAGAAAAATGAAGAGCAATGGTCTCCTGCAAACATGCAGAGCACGAGTTACAAAACTCAGATCTGAAACATCTTCAACACATGCAGATAGTTGATTCCCCTCTCCCTCTGTGTCCTTTTCAAAGCTCACACACAATACTTACCAGGTTGTGAGTCTGCTCAGGCTAAGAGTTGCTCACTGATCACTGATTATTTTCTTTTTTCAGACTCAAGCCCAAAGACAATTTTTTCATCTTTCTGGGTCATTTGGACCGGGCTTAGACACTTTTTGCCTCCACCAAGTTTTCACGCTAGATTGCTCTACTTGCTGTTTCTTTAAAGGGCCTGCTGACAGGTTAGCTTGGACTTCTGTCCTGGGGCTGGAGGGAGGGTAATGGCCTACCTACCTACTTATTTTCCCCAGTCTTCTGCAGCAAGACACAGAAACATTCCTCCAGATCCCACTGTGGACTGGCCCTTTAACAATTAAAATAGCTCTGGGGAAGCACATACCCCAGACTGCAAAGGACCCAATCTGAAATTCTTAATCCAGAAGGCAGAGGACAGGGCTCCTTTTGAAGCCTGTCAATGCCACTCCTTACAAATCAGTCCAAGTGACACCTACTTAGTAATGCAAAGCTCTCTCTCATAGTGCTACATGAAACTCAAGGAATGTGTGTAACTAAAAATGGCCTCTTTCACTAGAACAATTTGTTTATCCTAGCAACACTCATAACAGAAAAGTGTATTCAATGTGCAGCAAAATGGATGCAGGCTGGTGGTGGAACTGAAACTCAAGTGGCTTGCATCTGATGGGAAATATTTTCCCAGAGACTGTGGCTTTCATTCTGTTTTCTTGAGCCTGAGTGAATTGGAACCAACCCTTGTCTCGTGCTTGATAATGTGAGGTATTAGCATTAGCCCACTGGTTGATCCCAGAAAGACTGATTGTAAGGTAAGGCACTGCATTTCAAATACATTTTCACAGTCAACGGATTTATTATTATTAAATGGATATATTGCAATGGTGCCCAGAATCCCGCAGCAGAGTAGGGTGTTCTTCATGAAGACGTAAACTCTTGTCCTGAAGAGTTTACAGAATGAATGTTTAGCTTGCTGGTTCTATATGGTATGTTACATTCTCTGAAGACTGCTTGCAATAACTAAGATATAGAAAAAGGCCATCATACTTAATATCAAAAAGCCTTACCTTTGCCGATGCAGATTTACCAATTGCTTACACCTATTCAATGCCTGACACAGCAGAGCAGACACCTGTCTCTCTGCATTAATTTCCACAACTTCATCTGAAAGTCCCAATCCATCTGGAGTACATCTCTGCTTATTCAACAGGTGCTGCTGCTGAGCTGTCTCCTTATGTAACATTTCATATTCCAACTTTCTGTCAAGTTCTTCAATCTCCTAGAGTATGAAAATGTACAATGATAAGAACAATTCAAAATTCATCTTGGAAGAACAATTTTCGTTTGGAGTTAAGAAAAAGATGGTATCATTGGTTTGCAATATTACTTAATTTTGTTCTCATTCTTTCCAATCGCTTGTGATCACTACACTTTCCAGTTCATTGTGACGGCTTCACTAAACATAACTAGTATGCAATGAGCATCCGAACAATGCTTAAAGATACCAGTAAATTATTGCTGTGCTAAAGGGCAATACTGTCTGAAACCTTCCAACGTAGGAGACACTTGGAAGTATAATATCCATATGACTAAGATTGAAATGTCAGACAGCTTCCTGATTTATAAGCAGGGTAAAGTTACTGAAACACAATGTGAGAAACTCATGCAGACAATTTTTAGTTATACTGAATCAACTACTAATACTAAAAAGGTTTCAAATTGGAAAATATTGACTACTACTCAACGTAATAAAATGAGAGTAACAAAACAATATCTCTACAGTCAAAGAAGAACCCTTCCTAGAAATTGTTTAGGAGGCCTCGCTCAATAGTGTCATTTTAAAAATCCTTGTCTTAACTGCATAATTAATATGATAGACAGGATAGCTGTGTGGTTAAGCAATTAGACTAGGACTAAGGAGATGGGGTTCAGTTCCTAGTTCTGCCACAGACTTCCTTTCTGACCATGGCCAAGTCACTTAAGATCTCTGTGCCCCTATTAACCATCTGTAAAGTAGAGAAGATACCTGACACCTGGTAAAATTACTGGTTTCAGAGTAGCAACTGTGTTAGTCTGTATCCGCAAAAAGAACGAGGAGTAATTGTGGCACCTTAGAGACTAACAAACTTATTTGAGCATAAGCTTTCGTGGGCTACAGGCCACTCAAGCGAGTTGAACGGCACTTAATCAGAACTATGCAGTACAAATATTCAAATTAACATCAAGTTGAGTAAGCCCGTTAAAAACATACTGCGTAGTTGGATTCTTTTTATTTACCTTATCTTTAAGGCTTTAGGGTTCACACGGGGAGAGGTGACATACACACATTCCCGTACACCACTCTCTTACATAGGGGTGACCAACCGACCCTCCCTTCCCTGCCTGGCGCTTTCCACCCTCCATGCCTGGCTGGGCCTCTGGGATGGACCCATCTCTCCTGGTACATGGCACCACATCTTCCCAAGGCAGCACATGGGGAGACACACAGGATCACATGCCTCCCATCCCCAGGGTTCTGCCAGGGTTCACACCAGAATGTGGCCAGCAGCAGCCTTTCGGCCCTGTGTGGGAAGGAAGGGACAAGAGCTGCTTCCAGACTCAGGGTGGGAGGAGGTGGGGAAGGGATGACCTGGCCCGTGTCTTTGCAGAGCTCATCTCTTCTCCTTCACCCTCCCCTCTGTGTGGCTGGAAGCAGCTTGTCTCTTCCTGCCCGCACAGTGTCGAAAGGCAGCTAACACCTCCAGGCTGCTGCTGGCCACCGATGTAACCCAGCTGCCTCCTGCATGGGCAGGAAGGGGTTAAGCCCTAAGGATGCATTGTGCATCAGGGCCCAAGGAACCTGACTGCAGGGGCTTCAGCGAACCCTGCCACAGAAGTGACTCAGCAGGAGAGAGTGCCTAGGGGACAGAGTAGTCTCGCGCTACCTGGGGGGCAGGACCCAGGGCGGGGCATGTGTGTGTGTGTGTGTGTGAAGAGGGTGCTAAACCTCTGCCCCGAGGGCTACTGTGAAGCCTGCAGGTTCGGGGTGTGAACAGGCTGGAAATCGCTTCCCGCCCTTCCCCCCGCCATTCCAGAGCTTAGCTGAGGAGCGGAGAGGCTTCCCCGTGTCAGCGCTGTGCGGGGCTTTGGTACATGCAGGGCTTGGCTCCTCCTGGCCAGCGCCTGGGGCTGGAGGATCTTGGGCTTTCCCAGGGTGCTGGCCCAGCCAGAGGCAGTGGGGGAAGGAAGGAGCCTGCCAACCAGACTGCTGGTGAGCTGAGCGCTCTGACCAGGGGCTGGCTCTCTGCACAGCGCTGCTAGTGGGACATACTCCGTTGGGGGTGGGGGATATAGAGGAGCAGCCGGGCTGCGGGGGTGGCGAAGGGGCAAAGCAGAGAGAGGACAGCGAGAGGGGAAACATGTAAAGGGCTGATGGGTGGGCAGCAGGGGCGACGTGATCGGCAGCCGCCTTGTGCCTGCCGCACTCACCAGCCGCTGCAGTGCACGACCCATGCCAGCCAGAAATGGGATGGGGGGCAAGGCCCTGCTGGCCAAGAGCCGGCACACAGTGGGGGCTGCACTGGCAGACCAGCAGGGGGGAACAGCCGGCCCTGTGCACTGCATCTTCCCCCCGACACCAGCCTTGCACACCCACTCCCATTGTTGGCTACTGGACACCTCGCCTCCCCCCCCACACACACACTCACCACTGGTGGGCAGGAGGCTGGTGAGCAGGGATCCGGCCAGCAGCAGGAACTGCCAATACCAGAGGACAGAAAATATTGGACATTTTGCCTGTTTTTAAGAAATCGTCGGGACATCTGCAGGAGGACTTAAATAAAGGACTGTCCCTTTAAAAACAGGATGTCTGGTTACCTTATCTATGTTCAGCACTTAATACAATGGGGCCCTATGCACGTCCATAACAAAAATAACAATAAATGCAGACTAACTGCTAGTGCCAGAAATAAAAACATGTTATTTGTAGAGAGATTAATGAAGTTAACATACAGTTAACCATTAATTTGTTCTACTGAATGGTTACATCAATAGAGTTACGAGCTATCATCTGATGTGGTGTTAGTGTTTTTTAATTAACAGGTTTCTAAGACTGTAAAAAATGTAGCAACAGGCAGGGAAGTTTATTCAGCAGGAGAGAGTCTATATCAGGGGTGGCCAACCTGTGGCTCCGGAGCCACATGCGGCTCTTCAGAAGTTAATATGCAGCTCCTTGTATAGGCACTGACTCCAGGGCTGGAGCTACTTTCCAATGTGCTGGGGGGTGCTCACTGCTCAACCCCTGACTCTGCCACAGGCCCTGTCCCCATTCAACCCCTTCCCGCCCCCTCCCCTGAGCCTGCAGTGCCCTCACTCCTCTTCCCCCCTTCTCCCCGAGCCTGCTGCACGCCATGAAACAGCTGATAGGGAGGTGCAGGGAGAGAGGGGGAGGCGCTGATCGGCGGGGCTGCAGGTGGGCAGGAGGCACTGGGAGCGGGGAGGGGAGGGAGCTGATGGGGAGCTGCTGATGTATTACTGTGGCTCTTTGGCAATGTACATTGGTAAATTCTGGTTCCTTCTCAGGCTCAGGTTGGCCACCTCTGGTCTATATAAACCAAGTGAAACAGGTAGCATAAGCACGAATAGTAACAAACAAAAACTTCCCCAATCTAGGGCTCAACCCAGCCCTCACAGCCTGGATAAGAAACCCTACATACTCTCTCTCTCTCTCCTATCTCCAGCAGCCCTATTTATACCCCTTCCTCTGAACACCTGTGCAAGTGCTGGAGTTAACCCTTTGTGTATTAGCAACCTGGTAGTGTCTCAGCATACCGTTGCACTGTTGTAATTATTGTATTGTTTGTATTTTTGCAGTACCTAGGAGTCCCAGTCAAGGACGAGCACCCCATTGTGCTAGATGTTGTACAAACACAGAACAAAAAGGAGGCCTTATACTTATTTTGTAAACCAAAGAGTTTACAAAATAAGTATAACATAAGAGACAGAGGGACACAGACAGACGGACGGAGAAGTACAAGAAACAATGAAATATCATTGGTCAGCATGACAGGCAGTGGTCTCAACACAACAGCGGCCTAACTGTTGTCAAGTTTTTTTGTAGGCATCACAGCTAAGATTTCAAAACAGGCACTAAACCAAAATGAAATTACTTTTAATGCTTTATCAGCCTTGATCTTATTTCTCTTGTCACTGTAAATAGCTATTACAGGTTTAATACAATGTTTCATTAAACAAACTCAGAAGAGCATATTTAAACTAACATATTGTCACTTTAAGAAAGGCTCTCCAGAGAGGACAGTATTAAATTTTAAGTAGGAGTTTTCACAGTGATATCTGTCTAATGATGCCCTCTAGCAAAAAGGTTTAACTTTTAAAAATCCATTCTGTTTGTTCTACTTCAGTGCTCTGCCAATTCCCACTGTGATCGTCACAAATGGGAGACAAGCACACACACACACACACTTCCCTATGACTATATAGCATAGAACTAAAAATACCCAACAGGATTCTGAAACTGCCAAATCTGTAAAAAATTGACAAAAAGGAAGCAAAAGCTTTTTCTGAAGATTTTGTTATTTAAACTGTGTGCACATGCACAATGAGAGAGAGAGAGAGAGAGAGAGATTGTATCCAATCTCTGGGTGCACAATACTCTGGGTGCACAATAACTCGAGCTTATCACATGATCGGGCAATTTATCACATAGCTCTCACTACCATAAATGTGACAAATTTTGGAAGTTGGTCATGAAAATTATTTACTAGTCTTCGCTCAGATTTACTCCCCTGCCCTTTACTGTTTGATCAAGATAATGAAATATTAGTTAGTTACCTGTTAAAAATATTGCTTTATCTTATCAAGAGAGGCTGTGATATCAATTCGGGCCTATTGGTGCTACCATAATACAAATAATAAATAATATTATCTTTCTAGCTATAATATTCTTATCTTCTGTTTAAACAGTACTGTAACTTTCTATCTGTATTTCTTTCACATAAAGCTTTCATATAAATGCACACACACACCCTGCCAAAACTATAGAAATAATGGGTTAAATTTTCAGCTAGTATAAATCAACCTAGTTTGATTGAAGTCAATGAAGCTACACCAGCTGATGATCTGGCCCATGAAGAGTTTACCCTTCTCAGCACTTTGTTACTTACAGGATTATGTGCCTCTAAAATGTGGGTACACTCTGATTCTGATAGTATTTTTGATGTGCTCAATTCTTCCAGAAGCAAAGCTTGTACACTTATGATAGCGGTGTAAATCTCCAATGTTTTGGACTTCTTATCAGTCTTTTGGAACTGTAAAGCAGCAATGGACTCTCCAAGTTTATTCTCCCGAGAATGCAACTGATGCTCCTTTTCAAGCAGCAACTCATTATGGACCTGGAAAATAATGAAACACCAAATGTAATAAGATTAACAAAAACCTGATAAGCATTTTTAGGGTTTTTAAAAATATATAATTATTTGGCTGCCACATGATTGACATAATACGCAAGGAAATTATCCGGGGTGGGGGGAAGAGGAGGAGAGAGAAAAAGAACAGTCATTTCTTGTACATTACTCAACACATAAAACTATTAATTGTATTTAAAATATTTGTTTTCTTTAAAACAAAACTCAGATTTCTTAGCTACAGTGGTCATATACATAAGTGTGCCTTAGATAATATTGCCTCGGAATTTCATGGAAGCCCCACAATTCACTATACTTGGCGAAAATACTGCATATGCTGAAGTATCATTATCTAAAGTAAGTGACAACATTTTTAAGTGCATTACTATCGCAGAACCTTGACATTTTTACTGTTTCTATTACTGTGTAGGACAGTCCCCTGTGCTTTCCCTGTCTTTTTGTCCCATCCATGGCTGTCTCTTGTCTTAAATTTAAACTACAGGCTTTCTTGGGAAGGGACTGTGTTTTAGTTTAACACAACCCTGGCCTCCCAGTGCTAATGCAGTACAAATAATAAAAACTAATATCTATTGCAGAATGGGAGACTCATAGGAGACATTTCAAAAACTTTAATATGTTTTGGATGAATTTATTGCCACCAGTGATTATGGTATCTCACTGTAGCCACATCTGGAAACTTGAATGTATTTATGTTCTTCCCCATGCCTGCATCAGTCGATGTCTGCTTCTTTGCAACACCATGTGGGATGGGATCGTTCAGTTACCTTGACTTGGATTCAGTGCTCAGATGGTTACTTCTCTCCTATTTCTGCTTTACTTGAGACTGAAAAATCTCTGTGTATGTCACAGTACAGATAATAGGAAAAAAAGATCCAATGCCTAGTAGATAAAAGTATGTCAGAGGAGGTTTTTTTCATCTTACACTATATATTTTCTGGATGTTCAGAAAATACCCAAGTTTACTAGTAATTCTGGGTATTGTGTGTGAGACAGTGATCTTGTGATTAAAGCAGAGGGAATCAAGAGATCTGAATTGTAGACCAATTTTTGGCACACAGTGTTCCTTTATGGTTTAGAGCAATTCACAAGGGCCCAAATTTTCAAAATTGTCCACCAACTTTTGGTGCCTAGGTTTTCAGATGCACAACATTAGATATGCAGGCCTTGATTTTCATAGCTGCCAAAATAATCAATTGAAGTGGGAGCTGTGACTGCTCAAAACCTCCAAAATCAGGAGCTTGGTATCAAGTCAGGAACCCAAAACTTGAGGCATTTCAAATTAGCAGACACTTGAATATTTGGGCCTTAATCTCTCTATGCATGTTCACCTATCTGTAAAACAGGAATAATACATTCCTAATCCAATGAGTTAATTATTATTATAATCCAAGGATTTAATTAATACTTTCCTAATCCAATGGGTTTTTTATCATCATCACCACCACCATCACTATCATCATCCAAGGACATAATTTTTGCTTTTGAAGTGCTCTGAGATTCTCAGATGTAAGGCATCATAAAAGTTTCGGGTTATAAAATATTAAAGTTATTATATATCAAAGGAGTTGGGTTTAAAGTTAGCTAATTAATTCCAAGGGGGTTCAAATTAATATAAATCCTTCCTTCTCTCCAATAAGCCATTTTGTTGGATTGTCTCCTTTTGGTGAGCCCACCACTCCTGTTAATGGTAATGGGAATTGTGTGTTAACATGTGAAGGAGTCTATGGGCCTGGTCCTCAATTGGAGTACACTGGAATAGCCTGAAGCCTAGACTGAAGTCAATGATAATTACAGTTTACACCAGCTGAGGATCTGGCTCTATATCCCAGAGACAATATCTCAAACTTCATAACCATATCACCTGTCTATTTATGTTAATCAGAATTATATGAAATAATATATTAACCCCATTCATTACCTTTTAAGGGTAATTTAGCAGACTGTCACAAGATTTTTCAGAGCCCTAAAATGACACACAGGTAATGTGATGCACATGAATTTTTCTCTGGCATTATTACTGACAAGACTGCTCTCGAGAGGGGATTGCATATCATTCAAATTTTGTTATCCAATATATAAAGCTAAATTCAAAATGTGATTTGCAACCAAATCTTATTCAAGAGGATTCGTGTGACATTATATAAAATTTCCATTGAATTATATGAGATGCCCTTGAACACCAGAGGAAGAAAGTTATCTGCAGAAAATTCTTCTGACCATCATCAACTAAGCCTAGCAGTACAAAGCATAGGCGCTGACTCTGTGGGTGCTCCGGGGCTGGAGCACCCACAGAGAAAAAATGGTGAGTGCTGAGTACCCACCTGCAACCCCCTTATCAGCTCACCCCCACACAGCACCTCCTGCCCACCCGCCCCACAGATCAGCACCTCTCCCTCCCTCCCCATGCCTCCTGCCCGCCACAATCAGCTGTTTCATGGCATGCAGGAGGCTCTGGGCGGGAGTGGGGAGGAGCGAGGACGTGGCGCACTCAGGGGAGGGGGCAGAACTGGGCAGGAAGAGGCAGGGTAGGGGTGGGGCCTTGGGGGAAGGGGTGGAGTGGGGGCAGGGCCTGGGGCAGAGCCAGGGGTGGAGCATCCCCACACCCCAGCACTTTGCAAAGTTGGCGCCTGTGGTACAAAGCCCTACTAAAGAGGCAAGGTGCATGCAAAAGGTACATTCTAGATATTACTAGCATAATTCTGCCTTAACAGACAGAAAATGTATCTTAACCATATTGTTATTCAATATAAATCTCTTTCTTAAACAATAAAACAAAGCAAACATGGGGAAAATATCTGGAAAATATGAAATTGTCCCTTCCCTCCCCACAGAACCTGTAGATTCTGCAGCCCTTGGCTAGCGGCCCTGAAATGAAAAGAAGGCTTAATGTAAATGCTGCTTTCATAATTTCACAGTATTGTGGAATTTATGAGGGCCTCAATTTTGATGGTCACATGGAACCACATATAAACTCTGGTTCTAGGCTATCAGGGAAGTTTACTTTGTAATAAACTGACTGGCTGTGGTGATACAGTGTTGTCAATTCCCATGGTTTCATTGTGAATTTTGTGATTGTTGATGTTTTTTCCAGCTCCTGGAATCCAGTGATTACATAGGAATCTTAGTTTTCATTAAAATAATACAATTTTAAATCCCCATGGTTGTGGAGAAAAGCTTGAAAAATTTGCCAGAAGGAAAACAAAAAGAATGCAACATTTATTATTTTTTAAAATTGCATGATTTTGGGGCCCAGCAAATGGTTTTTAAATGCGTGGAGTTGGTACTGTTTTGCCTTTGCTTATGCCCTATGTTCAGTTTACCACATTTTTCCGTGACAGGAATAAAGAAGAGTTGTTTCATGATAATCTTTTTCCAACTGTGCAGTCAATACTTTCTCTGTACCTGTATGCATCTCAAGAAGATCAGACAGTTTTGCAAAGGGGCAGCTGGAGTGTGTCAGATGTTTAGAATGCTGCAGACAGATCAACACGTGGGGGAAATTGCCAATCTGCACAAACACTTCTTTATAATACTGGAACACTTAAAGAAACAAACCATAACCACAGTAAGTCTCAGTACTGGCAGAGGAAATGTCCCTTTGGGTATGTCTACACTACGGGATTAATCCGAATTTATATAATTCGAATTTGGAAAACAGGTTGTATAAAGTCGAAAT